AAAATATGCTTTTCACCTGAGGCTTATCTAAAAGTTTGAAGAGAGCTGTCTGACTGTAAGGCTTTCTTACGGCTATGAATAGAAAACTTGGGATTTTAGGCATTGCTTAGTACCAAAAATTCACCTTGATATTGGCAAACATGTTGCTTGTAAACAATGCGGAAAAGTCGTGGATTAAGGTTTCTTGCCCATCCTAATCAACAAAATGATTACATAATGACTGGTCTCCATTGATAACCTGAACTATTGGTCGTGTAACTAATATAGGTATACGAGCATCTTAGAAATAGCTTGATTTCTGAAATTATCTGACAAATGTGGTAGAGAATTCCATGAACACTGCAACGTATTTCTTTAATATAACTTGCATCTGCGGTTTACTGTTTAGTTGTGAGGAAACGGAAATATGGTGAATTTATTTTTAAATGGCATTTGCTATGAGAAACAAATATTCTCTTTTTTTGTAAGAGAGACTCATGTACTACTTTAAAGTCAAGGAATTTGGAAACTGCATTTAATCAGAAAGTGACTGCCGCATTAAAACATGCGAAATAAAGAGGGATGTCCGATGTGACTTGCAACATTTTTTGCAGACTCAACACGTTGACACACTTTTCATTTTCACAAATTTTCGTGCAAAATAATATCCATAAATTCTCTTAGAATAAAAAGATAAAACTAAATAATGCAATCCTATAAATGATTTTACGGAAGGGAGAATGCTTCCTGTATAATCAAAGTATGCAGACAAACACATTTATTTACAGTACAAAAACGCATTGATCCAAAATGGATGATCATTTAATGTGTAATGCATTTAAAAATTGATAACAACCTATACTGTGTCGTATCGTTTGCGTTGTACCGAAGAAGAAACATGGGTTTAAACCTTTATCCTTCTTCTCTATGCTCTTTAGGCACGCCGGAAAACCCTTGCACAAGACTAGGAAAATGTTGTCTTATTGTACTTACCAGATGGATATTTAGAATTGTGTATTATTGTGTGTACCAGAGGAGTATTGAGAATAGTGTATTACTGTGTCTACCAGACGTGTATTAAGAAGGGTGTATTATTGTACCTTCCAGAAGTGTATTAATAATGGTGTATTATTGTGTCTACCAGAAGTGTATTAAGAAATGTGTATTCTTATGTCTACCAGAAGTGTATTAAGAATGGTGTATTATTGTGTCTACCAGAAGTGTATTAAGAAAGGTGTATTATTGTACCTTCCAGAAGTTTATTAAGAACGGTGTATTATTGTATCTACCAGAAGTTTATTAAGAATGGTGTATCATTGTGTCTACCAGAAGTGTATTAAGAAGGGTGTATTATTTTGCTTACCTGAGGGGTATTTAGAATAGTGTATTATTGTGTCTACCAGAAGTGTATTAAGAACCGTGTATTATTGTACCTTCCAGAAGTGTATTAAGAATTGTTTATTATTGTGCCTACCAGAAGTGCATTACGAACGGTGCATTATTGTGTCTACCAGAAGTGTATTAAGAACAGTGAATCATTGTACCTTCCAGAAGTGTATTAAGAATGGTGTATTATTGTGTCTACCAGAAGTGTATTAAGAATGGTGTATTATTGTACCTACCAAAAATTATTAAGAACGGCGTATTATTGTGCCTACCGGAGGGGGATTTAGAATGGTGTATTTTTGTGTCTACCAGAAGTTTATTAAGAATGGTGTAATATTGTACCTACCAAAAATTATTAAGAACGGTGTATTATTGTGCCTACCAGAAGTGTATTAAGAATGGTGTATTATTGTGCCTACCAGAAGTGTATTAATAATATTGTAATATTGTATCTACCAGAAGTGTATTCAGAACAGTGTATTATTGTGCATACCAGAGGGGTATTTAGAATAGTTTATTATTGTGTCTACCGGAAGTGTATTAAAAGCTGTGTATTATAATGCCTACCAGAGGGTATATAGAATAGTGTATTTTTGTGTCTACCAGAAGTTTATTAAGAATGGTGTATTATTGTACCTACCAAAAGTTATTAAGAACGGTGTATTATTGTGCCTACCAGATGTGTATTAAGAATGGTGTATTATTGTGCCTACCAGAAGTGTATTAATAATATTGTAATATTGTACCTACCAGAAGTGTATTCAGAACAGTGTATTATTGTGCATACCAGAGAGGTATTTAGAATAGTTTATTATTGTGTCTACCGGAAGTGTATTAAAAGCTGTGAATTATAATGCCTACCAGAGAGTATATAGAAGTGTATTTTTGTGCCTACCGGAAATGTATTAAGAATAGTGTATTATTGTGTCTACCAGAAGTGCATTAAGAAAGGTGTATTATTGTACCTACCAGAAGTGTATTAAGAACGATGTATTATTGTGTCTACCAGAGGAGTATTTAGAATAGTGTATTATTGTGTCTACCGGAAGTGTATTAAGAACGGTGTATTACTGTGCCTACCAGAGGGGTATTTAGAATAGTGTATTATTGTATGTACCGGAAGTGTATTAAAAGC